TATTACAGGTCACAAGAGGCACACTATTTAAATGTGTCCAATGTAAACATACCTTCTCCCACAGAACTTTGAGATTACTCATGAAGCAGTGGTATTTTATGGAACACAGGGACAGCCACTGCTTTGGTTTACAGTTTTATTCAATTCTACATAACCTTGTTGTTTTTTTAATTCTACCCAAGCTACCAGAAAATTTTCTCCATGACTACTAACTGTTACTTCAAAGAACAGAGTAAGTGATATATCCTTATAAGATTTTGGTATACAAAGAAGATCCCAAAAGGCCCTTCTAGTGTGAAGGCTTGAGTCCCTCCTTAGCTCTGGATAATATTCATCTATATATATCTTAACAATTCTCTTCCTTTAATTTTTTAAATGACTTAAAAATTCAGATAAAATTCACATAACATAAAATTCACCATTTTAACAATCTTAAACTATACAATTCAGTGGATTTTAATGTATGCACAAGGTTGTGTAACAATCACTACTATCTAATTCCAGAACATGCTCATCACCCCAAAAAGAAGCCCTATACCTATTAAGCAGTCACTCCCTTTATTTTTCAAGTTGTTTTACTGAGGTTCTTAATAATACAACTTCAGACCTCCTAGATTGTGCTTTTATACTTTTTAACTTTTCTTCCCGTTTTTATCTTTTTGTTGTATATTCTGGGAGACTTTCTTGATTATGTTTTCTAGTCCTTCTATGGAAAATTTTTTTTTAAATTTCAGAAATATTTCAAAGAGCTTGTTCTTATACATTTCTATTTCAAAATATTTCTCTTTTATTATTCTGAGTATATTAATAAGAGTATTTAAAACATTTTCTTCTGTTCCTTAAGTTACTTCTCTTCACTCTAGTACTAATTTTTCTGTTAGTTTAGTTTTGTTCACTTTCTTTCATGCTGCTGTTTTTTCTAACTTGCAGAAAGATCTTTGGTTGACCATTCACATTTAAGGCGGAACAACAGGGAAATTATCCTTTGTAGAAAGGAAATGCCAAAAGGATAAGCAATCAACTAATTAAAATGGTTACTAATAAGGGGTGTAAGGCAGGGCAGACTAGGACAAGTATATTTAGGGTGAGTAGGTAGGGGACCAAGCTATAAAACTGCAGAACCCTGATCTTAGTATGAAAAAGACTTCTTTTGGAGCATCAACATCCACACTAGAAGTCTCAGCTTTTCCCCAAACATTTTCTTCAATTTCTTTTTAGAACTACCTGTTGTTTTTTTAGGGGGGAGGGAAGGAATGCAGTTGGCCTGAGTGGAGGTGGGGGTAGGAAGGAAGGTAGGCGCCTAGTCAGCTAGTGGTAGCAGCTTCCATTTATAGTCATTCAATTAATCTTCCTTGTTTTCAACCCC